TCGGATTTCTCTAACGATCTCTTCCTTATGCGAGCACAGTGTTCCACTGTCGTCTTTTATCTTTATGATTTTATTCCTGCCAGTGGATTTACATGTTTTTAGTACTTTCATGTTCTTATTGTTTTCTATGGTTTCAAGAATCTGGTTTGTTCTATAAACTCTGAGGTCTTTTCGAATATTTTTCTTAACGCTTCTGTTGAGCGCTTTATAGTCCGGGTTATCTCTGTTCGTTCTTCTTCTTTCCTCTATCTGTTCTAGAGTTTCGGGTTTTAGTTTAGCTTCCTTTTGTTTTCTTATTCTGCAACAAAGTTTCTTAGTGACTGTTTGTATGTCTTTAGTTATTTTCTCAGCTAGTTCATCTATATTCTTGTGCTCAAAGGTATTTGCTACTAGTTTTCGTGCTAATTCCTCTTGGTATTTCTCTTTATTACTGGCTAGGATGTCTGCCGTCGGTAAAGGGTTTGTTGTTAATAGTTTTCGTCTTTCTCTCTTTACGTTAATACGTATATCAGCACGAACTAGTCTATGGTCACTGCCTGTGTTAAATTTGTTCAATTCCTCGATGTTTTTACATATTGATCTATCACTGAAAAGGATAAAATATATTTCATTCTTAACCTGACCGTCAGGGCTACGCCATGTTCACTTTCTTTGTATTTGTTTTTTATAGAACGTGTTCAGGCAAAACATTTTTCGGTGCTTACGTAATTTGCTAATGTCTCTCCTCTGGTGTTTCTGTTGCCTAGACCGAAATTTCCTATGTAGTCTGAGTCACCTTGTATTCGCCGCCCTATTTTTGCATTAAAATCTCCGGTGATGATAACGTAGTGTGTTTTTTCTAGGTCTTTAGCTCGCGTTATATCTTCGTAGAGTTGTGCAATTGACTCGTCATCTGCAGTGGAAGTTGGAGCATAGCAGTGTATTATCTGTAAACTATATAGTTTATTCAGTTGTATTACAAGATATATCACTCTTTCCGACACTGCTGAGTATTTCACAATCTGGTGTTCTATTCTTCGGTTGACCATGAAAGCCACTCCTCCTTGGCCGTGGTTGTCCTCTGAATTATATTGGTATCGTTCGTTTAGTGTACAGTAAATAATGCTTCTCTGGTGCCAAAGCCTTTTCTGAATCCCAACTGGTTTTCAGCTATTCTATCATCTAGCTTTTTATAGATACGTTCGTGTATCACTCGTAAGAACACTTTTAGAATATGTTTCATCAAGCTAATTGTCCTATGATCCGCACACTTCATTGCGTTTGATTTTTTGGGTATTGGAGTGAATATTGATATCAACATTTATTATACTGGATGAATATACGGGAGAGATTCCGAAAGAATTTCTCCCGTATATTCATATTATAATCTCAATAAGCTTCAAAATTAAAAATTTTAATTTTTAAATTCATAATTCATATTTTATAAAATGTGATAATGTCAAAAAATAGAAGTAGAAGTAAACATTGTATAAATATGTTAAATTAATATATTAAACCATTTTTAAACAAAAAGTTTAATTTTACAGAGTTGCTCAAATAATTGTATCACCCACTGTATTAAGTCAGCCCTAAAGAAATGGATTATATACATTGTATACATGTATTAGTAATAATTTTCGTTCTAAGTATTATTAAATTCAAATACCTAACGAATTTCTAAAATATATTTTGTTCCTTCTACATAGTCGTACGCTTCTAATTTATTGTCTGCTAAGTCTTATCTTTGTACGTCTTATTCGTACAATATTTACTATTTTCTCTTTTCCAGTAAATCATCATCTAGAATTAATAATAACAAATCATTAAAAATCTGTTTTGTGTTGAGTTAAAAGAGAAAACACTTGCTAGTGCCTTTTATTACATATCATGAACTGTATCATGCAACATTGATCTGTGATCTTACTAATGAGTGAAAATTTTGGGTTAAATGATACTTAATATTATGCTGACAAAATACGAGGTTTATCACGGTACTGCCATGGACTTCGCAAGATTGTTAGTGGAACTTGATCATATTGATCATTGATCTGCTAGTGAAGCAGAATAAATAATTTAAAATCAAGCGAGTGTTTGTATCTTGACTCTTTATTCAAATTCAATTTAATGTATAGGAACATAGATGTTACACATCGGCGCATCATACACATACATGAAATTCACACACATTTGTTAAAATAAAACATTTTTGGAAGACACCAGACATAAGTTGTTGGGAATTAACATTAATTATAATTTTTTATATTCATTCGATGTTCCACGAATGTTTTTATACATAAAATACATTACTATGTTGAAGAAGAATGCATAGTTCTGTATTTTATAAAATTTTGTGTATAGTACAACGAAGCTGGTGAACATTTCTGAAGTTTGTGAATAAATAAATCGATAGTTTTTCCCATTATTATACGTGGTATTCGTACTTTTCCTTTCCTTCATTAAGTCTTACACAGCCTGTGTAAGACTTAATGAAGATACTGGGACTTTTCGTATTGAAATAGGCGTTCGGCAAGGAGACAACATGTCTTCTAAATTATTTACAACTTTGCTAGAATACGCTTGTAAAACAATAGATTGGAACGAAAAGGGCATCAATGTAGATGGAAAATTTTTAAATAACCTTAAATTTGCCGATGATATCGTTCTTATTGCAGACAGCTTTGATCAGGCACAGATAATGCTCCAAGAACTCCATACTGCCACAAAAAGAGTTGGTCTTAAAATAAATTTTTCAAAAACACAATTTATGACAAATTTAGTCCACAACAAAAATATCTCAGTAGAAGACAAAGATATTGAGCCAGTTGACTCCTATAAATACTTAGGCCATGAGATCAGAATAAATCGAGACAACCAAACAATCGAGCTGAAAAGAAGAATAAACCTCGCTTGGGCTGCATTTGGAAGGATGAAGGATATTTTTAGGTCTAAGATTCCAATGTGTCTGAAAAGAAAAGTATTTAATCAATGTATTTTGCCAGTGATGACCTACGGCGCAGAAACCCTAACGCTCACAAGAACAACAGTGAGTAAACTACAAGTTGCGAAAAGAGCAATGGAGAGAATTATGTTAGGGATTTCTCTACGTGATAGAATACCCAATGCTACTATACGCAAAAGATCAGGAGTAGCAGACGTTATTGAAAGGATAACAACACTAAAGTGGAACTGGGCAGGTCATGTAGCAAGATCAGTTGATGACCGGTGGACAAAAAGAATTTTGGAATGGAGACCCCGAATACAAGCTTCAGAAATAGAGGTCGACCCCCAACGAGATGGACAGATGACATAAAAAGAGTGACTACAAATTGGATTCAGATGGCGCAAAATCGGACTAAGTGGAAAAGCATGCGAGAGGCCTATGTTCAGCAGTGGACGTTAGAGGCTAGTTGATGATGATGATTCGTATTTTTCCACGCATATGTACTACTAAAAGTACACGTTTTAAAACAACTTACCTCAAATGCTTACTACTAGAATTCATTTTGATACTTCCCTTTTCAGACATATGTTTAGTATTTGACAAAGATACTCCATTGTTCGTTCACTTCCGTTCCGTTTCTTCAAACCAACGTTCGTAAACAAGCACAGCACACAAAGAAGAAGAAGAAGAAGGCATCCTGCCAGTCTATTTGTTTCTGTACTTGATATCTCACTTCTTTGTCCAGGTTTCCATAGTTGGATAGTATAATTTCAAGGTGTTTTATTTCCATCTGATTGGTTCTTTGCTGATAACTATTGTTTTAGTTTTTTAAGTTGAGATTGTCATATTAAATTCTGATCAACAGATCTGTTGAATCATCTGATGATTCAAGAATCTGTTTTAACAGATGTTAGTAGTTCCAGGTAACTTTATTCGCTGATTTATCACTGATAAGAGATCTCTCTTTATTTATTCGTTGTTGTTTTCATTCGATACGCATTTGCATTTGTTCGAATAGAGGGACTTTCTCTTGGAGCTATATTGTTAAATTTTAGAGCTCTTAGAATCTCTTAGAGCTCAAATAATGATTGTATAACATTTTTCACTCCTTCAGTTGTTTCATATTTTCCTTTAACGTGATATCTATATCTTTCACACTATATCTTTCACATGGTATGGTATTGTTATGTTACGCCTATCTCTATATCCGATAGACTTTTTCTTCGGAATATTTAAATTTTTTTTTAATTCTATGAAATTTAATTTTCCTTCTCCATTTTTACTACAGCTTCCAAATACATACAGCTATAACTATGCTAACTACTTTTAATCATCGGTCGTCTAAAATCATGTATAAATAAATATTTTCTCGATATTTTTTGCGGTTATTATGGTCATCCTCTTTATCTTCAACGATACACGAGTCCATACACTTTCACCAACTTTTATTACGAATTTCATTGGCAATCTTGCTCACCATCAGCGATCATCTTTATCCAAAATCAGAAATTTATGGGGAAATGTTATTCTAATTCATTCATTTTATAAAAAAACAGGCTTCATTAACACTTGTATAAATAAAACAAAATAATTGCCTTGTCAGATTCTTGTAATAGGTATTTACTGGTTTAGCACTATAATTATAAAAGAAACAGTAATTATATTGGCATCAATAAAATCCATAGGCTAGGCTAGACCTTTTTTGCTCTGGAAACTATTTTAATGTAAGAGAAAAGACAGTTAAGATTTGATTTCACGTATAGTGCCTCTGTATATTCGCTTATACGTATTTCATCCTACCAAGAATCATCAGAGCGACTGCTACAGAAGCTCTGTAGGTGAAATCTTTTCCGACAAAAGAAGCAACAATAAAATGGCTTCAATATGGACGCTATAGCGACATCTGAGAATAATATTTTAATATATTTTATTCCATTGGATAAATTATTTAGAATTCTGTACGATTGATAGATCCAAAGATTTCAGAAATGTTCTCTAGCCTGCCGATACATTTTCGTGGAAAATAACATATATTATTCTATCCGTTAACATTACTCATCCTTTTTTTCTTGTTCTTTAGGAGGAAACATTTGAAGAAATGCTGAATCGCCAGAAGGCTGAACTAAATGCTTTAATGGAAGCTCACAGAAAGCAACAGTTAGAATACATGGGTAAATATAAAAGGCAGAAAGACGGAGAAAATAGATGAGTTTTATTTTCTTTTTGTTTTTGTTACAGAGTTTCATCGAAAATTAACTGAAGGTATATATAACTTGATTTATTTTTTTTTATTATTTAATTAATGTTTTTATCCATCACGCAGACTTTAACTAGATGAGCTTGACAAGATCATAAGGTTTATCTTAAAAGATTCAATAATTCTTAAGTGTTACTTGCACCAAATCTATTATCATAGAACTGTTTTCACTCATGTCGTTAGTAGTAAGCCCTTTTATGTTATTCATGAGATTTAATTTTTTCATCTTACATCTGTAGCTATCCCAATGTATCTTTAAATATCTTTCTCGGAATTGCACGAATTTTGATTTTTCTTGGAGATTTATAAGCCTGAAGACGCGAATAAATCTTTTGGAGTTGGAACCTGAAGAACAACTCTTCTAGGATTATCATGATACATATTTTTATAAGTCATATTACTTTTAGGTTCAGAATTATTCAATAAATCAATGCAGTATCTTTGCTATCATGGCTTGTTACGATTTCAGATAAACAAACAATTTTGGCTTCTATCCATTTTAATTTGAAGAATATTTAGTACATCACTTAATCCGGTTTTGATGTTAAGTTGATGACCCAATATTGTAATTGTCCCAATTTTAAGAATATCTCGTAATGCTTATAAATTTTTAATACAAATTTATGTAACAAATTCTACTTCTCTCAATTTCTTAACTAACAGTGATTATCGATTTATACTGTGTTACTGCTCATCTTGTGTTGATTTTAAAACCTCTTTTAGTCTTGTTATTCATAGCTCAGGCGAGGCACTTCTCTGGTACTTGGTAGTGAGACCTTTATACCAAATTCTCTGTCCATGGAATTCCACCAAGAAGTTCCGTGTTCTAGATTAGAGCCACCAACTTTATTAGGGAAGTTTAAGGATTTCTGCTGGCTAGTCAGGTCAGATCTACAAATAGTACAGGATCCAATTTTAGTTTGATATATTTAATATTAGCTCCCTTGATCTTTTGGATATTATGCTTATTGCCCTATGGTGGTTCTTCCGTCTGCACGGATACCCCTTTCGGTCTCCTGCCAGGAAGTGATTGTTGCAAGCTTTGTTAAATTAGTCTGCCAGCATGAGTCGATTCTTTCATGCAAGTGCATAAAACTAGCACAATGACGTAGTAATGTGGCCTCCAGTGCAGCCTGTTCAATACTTCCTCAGAGTTCCTGTCGACCCAGAGACTCCAATCTAATCCTTTATCCTCGGATTCTGTTTTGTTCTATTATTTTTTGGAATAGTTTTAGTAGTTGTTTGACCAGACCTGATCCTCCGTACTTTAGCGAGTTCGTTCGTTATTGCTTAATGCTTCCTTTACTCCTTCCTCCTCAACATGTATTTCTTCGTTTGCCGTTACCTCTGGTGTTGGTGGTTCACTATCGTCACCTTCCACAAATAGAGATCGAAAGTAGTCGGTCCATGTTTCCTTCTGAACGTGTTTTGTTTTTATTAGTTCGTTCATCTCTTTTCTTTGTCCTCTCATCATTCTCCATATTTCTTTTTGTGTTCCATAGAAGTCGTGTTCCATTTGTTTTGAGAAGCTGTGACAGTGTTCCCTTTTTATTTGTCTAACTAAGTATTCGTTTCATTTCTGATTCGTTTATAGTGGTTGTATGCCTCTTCATTTCCCGTCTAAATCAGTGGGTTTTCTTTTTTGATATGTTAATGTTGGTTACTTTCTCCAAGTTATTCTGCTGCTGCGTTAATTGTGATATTTTTGAGTTGTTCCCAGCTTTCCTCGATGTTATCATTTTCTAATATTTCATTCCCAGCAGTATCTTTCATATCGAGAAATTTATTAGGGCATCTTTTTTGGGCCCTGTTTCATTTTCAGACAAACGTTTGTCGGTTAGTTTTTGTAGGTTTGTCCTTTTTTAATTTTCTCGTCGGGAATTTTCTGGTAGATGCAGGCCAATTAGTAGCCTGTGTCTAATCAGTTTTCCTTTGAGAAATGGTTGGAGGTTACTGCAGTAAGACGACCTTGCTAGTGTCAACACTCTCATGTTGCTGAGTTTGCTCCTGTAAGCTCAGAGAGCTCAAAGAGATACGTAATAATGTTATCAAGTGTCGTAAGTGTTTTGTATGGCAGTACTCTAATCGTTCTCTAATTCTAATTTCTGTCCCGATGTTGTGGGAATTGGTAGCTCTTCCCTAATCTACTGAGCGTCATTTTTAGAAGTAGTTTTGTTAGTTATTGGGTCCTTCTTATCGTACTCCTGTTTTTTATTGTTATTAACTCGGTCTATTCTGGTTCCACTAGTCTGGGAGTAAGGTCCAATATAAAAGAAAGTACGCTTGGTGAATAGCCCGGCCCATCATCAGACCAATATTGATAGATGATAACTAACACTACAATGAAATTAATAAGAGTAATATTTTTTATATATCTTGGACGTTTATCATCATAGGAAGATCTGTATTTGTTTCTAAAAATAGAGGCTTTCAAGATTTATGCAGTGATATATACTAGAATATCTTGATTAGTTTAGAAGTTTATATAAAAACGTGCTGACCGTCTATAAGGCAGAGTTCTTCGGTCTTCTGACGTATTTACACTTTAATTTATTTTTACAGTTTATGCCATTATTTTACTTTATTTGAGGAATAAATATTTATTATGCTTTGTTATCATCTATGTATAATACTATTCGTATTATTTTTTTTTATTTCTGTCACACAGGAAGACTCATTCCAATTTTTAATGTTTTCTTCACTTTATTAAATACACTAAATCACTCATTCACAATTTGTTCCAAGTCTACGCTTTCACTATTACGTAACACAGCTTGATTGATTGAAAAAATCGTGGTAATGATAGAGGATATTCAAAATATATTTACATCTTCAAAAGAAAAATAATTTTTAGATATTTTTTAAGAATATAACAGAAAGGGGAAAGTTTAGTCCAAACATTCCTTATACACTTTTAACAATCGTTCATAAATTTCTTTGAATTTAAACCTTCCAAAAATTAAAATTTTATCATTACACGATACTTGATTTTTTACATTATGAAAAAATATGGTGACACGTGGATACTCGATACTAAATGGCTCCATCCATGTTGCGACACAATAGTGCCATCATACCGTTATCCGATTCAAGATTTGCAAAAATAATGAGTATATAAAAATTTGCTCATGATCTCGTACACTAAATTAAAGTTTTACAGTGCATCGTGTATATTAATTACGTTTCTATTTTTAATATTTTTCTGGTATTATTACAGTAAATCAGTCGAGGCTCAGCAGGCTGACATCCTTACTTCGAAGTGGGTACTTGGGGTCCATGGTTTGAACCACAAGCAGTCAGAAAAAAAATTAAAATTGCAGCAGTTTAAAATCTAAAGAAAAGATTTGCGACTTTAAATTTGCAATTGAATCGAGTTAGTCGGTGGACGACTCGATTGCGAAAGATGTGAGAATCACAGCTTGATGATGTTCCATCATTGAAGACACTAGAAAACTGCTTATTAGTGAAAATTTAACAATTTGAGTTATTTGTTTACCATGCTTGTTTTTAAGCTTTGGTTAACATTATGTTAACAAGATGCTGGGATGCTTACCGGTTAGTAGCTACATGAAACAATTCCTCGACTGTTCGACGTGCCCAATGTTAGCCACGATAGTTGTTTTTGCCCGACCCAACGTTTCCCTTGTATTTTGCCCTGTATGACAAACCATAAGTAAGCAGTAAGCAATATTTAGTCCCGCTCATTATCTGACCAGAGGACTTTTCATTTTACTGGTGTTGATCGAGATAATGGTTGTAAAAATTGGACAGCCATTATCAAGTAATTGTATTTAACGGGGTCAACACGTAAGCAGATTTACGAAGATATCTGTATGACTCGTCAAGGCTAGGAATAACTTTCGAAATTTTGCCTGTAGCGCAGAGAGCAGACAGAGAAAGTATTTGGAGAGAAGGAGATGGATGAACTCCGGCACTCATCTACCTGATTTTAAACGTAGTTTACAGGTCTAGTTTACTTTTCCTACTAATATAATTTCCGGTAACTTTGCTGCGCATTAAGTAGGTGTGTCAAATGGGTGATTTTTAGTTAGTGCCTAGTTTTGACAAACTATAATACTATTTGAAATCAATATCCTTTGTATACGATATGAAAAATTGAATTGCAAGCTTCAAAACAGGTAGATTTTATCTTCTTCTGGATAGTGACAGAAGGTTGGCAATAACCGTTGCAAATTTGTCTCTATCATCTGCTTTTCTTAAGAGCGTCTGTGTGTTTAACCCGGTCCAGTCGCGTAATGTTTTTCAGCCAGGATATTTACAGTCTAAACATTTTACCATCCGATATCGGATTTGCAGATTAAGTCTGGTTACTCAAACATTTCCTCATCGTTAAAAAGGCTGCTCTTGATTGCTCTATTCTTGAGCGAATTTCTGATTTCGGATTCATATCTTCCGTAATCCAGACTCCTAAGTATTTCATTTTGTATAGATTTTATATTGAACAGAAAACCGATCAGAAGGTTAGTTTCTTGTTGCAACCCCGTAAATATCGATGAACTTCTGAGACGTCGAATATTTCATATGAACGTATCTATCATACAGTTTACGTCGATTTGAATACGAGAAAAATCTTTTGTACAATGAATCTTCCAAATAACTGGGTGTTAATCAGAAGCGTGTAAGTGTAGAAGCATCAGGTTTGATCTGTACTCGGTTTGAAAAATATACAGACTTCTTAAGCCGTATTATTACTGTGGATGAAATGGATGATACTGTAGGTACATTTATACTATCCAGGAACAAAACAGCAAACAAAAAGGATACACTCTGGTTCTCCAAGGCCTAAGAAATTTCGGGTACTAACATATCTGGTGGAGAAGTTCTTGTTGCCATGAAAACAATATATGATTTAAGGTTCGAATACTCAAACATTCTCCTTATTCAACAGTTCTGGCTTCGTCCAACTTTAATGTCTTGCCTCATCATATTCCTAACAAAGTCAGCACTAAGCTGGTTCTTGATGCAAGAGATAACTGGCTGATGTTGCGCTGACCCATAGCGTTAACTTGGTATAGGTACCGGGGCACACAGGTGTGTAATGGAACGAACGAGCTGATACCCTGGCAAGACGGGGCTCATCTACTGTACCTGTGGGACCCCAACCGGTGATTGGAGTGTCCTTTAGTACTGGTCGGGGAAGTCTGAACGAGCTTCTTTTGCGTAGGTTTGGGACTCCTGGGCCCGTTGTGGAGGTATGAGACAAGCTAGGCTCCACATACTGTGGCCATCCAAAAATCTCCTTATAGACCGTAGAATATGCTCTCTGATGGTTAGTATGATTATCGGCCACTGTAGACTTAGGCGGCACCTCCATCTGCTTGGATTGGCGAATGGGTCACGATGCCGTCTTTGTGATGGGAAAGAAATCTCCTCACATGTTCCCCGGCACTGGCCTATCACAGGTGACAGATCCTGGGTTTGCCTTTATGCAACCGAGCCAAGCGACTGAGTTACCCCTAAAGAGACGTGTGGCTTTCTATGGGTCCATAAGGTTATTAAAGGATTAGACGTTCGGAACGGCAGAAAGAGCTCAGATTTGGAGCCCCTGCTGATTATAGCAGATATGAGAGCCCCGAGCAGCATAGCCCCAGAAATGCCGAGGACCAGGTCTAGTCCGTATGATAAGGTCGATACAATGGACCTGCATTAGAAGGTCAAGTGTCTGAAGGGTTCACAAATGGGCCCTGCCCCTTCTACCATAACCAACCATAACGCTCATATCAAGTTTGAATGTGCATAATATCTTAGTGCATAATATCTGCAAAAACTTAGTTGATCACAGTTACATACTAAAAAATCAAAGCACGAAAACAGCGTTTCTTTATCTAGAGATTGTTAATCCAATCTAATTGGATTATAATACAATGGACCTGCATTAGGAGGTCAAGTGTCTGAAGGGTTCACAAATGGGCCCTGCCCCTTCTACCATAACCAACCATCACGCTCATATCAAGTTTAAATGTGCATAATATCTTAGTGCATAATATCTGCAAAAACTTCGATCACTGTTGATCACAGTTACATACTAAAAAATCAAAGCACGAAAACAGCGTTTCTTTATCTAGAGATTCTTAATCCAATCTAATTGTTTTCAATTTGGAAGCCCATTGAAAAATTATAAATTAGTATAACCACTTTTTTTGAAGAAGTTAAAGACGGTGTAAATAATTTTGACTTTCCTTTGATACGAAATGTGTTTCTGCAACAGTTTCAAATAGTTTGAAAACTGATTAACTTGAGTAGTAAATATTCGCTTTCGTAAAGACCAAATTCCAGACACTATTTAAATTAATTGTAAAATTTTTATTATATAAAAGTGAAAATAGAGTAAAAAGAGGTAAACAAAGTGAGCCATTTTTAATTTTATATGAAAAGCCCCATTTTTCGGAAGATACTGTAAACTGCTAGTGTAAACTTACTTTGTCGTAGTTCTATATTAAATGTACTTTGATCGTTCTTTTGTCTTAATTCCATAAAAAAACACTCTTCATTTCTGCTATAATAGCATCATGCATCATTTTTTGTATGTGACTGTCCAGAAGTTGTTATTGGTAATTCCTCGTTTTTTTTTCTTCGCCTTTTGGAAGTTGTGCCTCGATTGCGTCCATGATGCCCTGCCTTCCAAACAAAAACCACCCTTAGCCACACACGCGCTGCTAGTGTTGTTTAGACTCTCCTAACACGCACGCGCGGCTTCCTTCTCTTCTGTTTTTCCCTTTAACGTTTATGTCTGCTGTCGTTCCCTTTCTAGGATCTCTTTCCTTTTTATTATTCTAGTTATTATCCCCAGAATTTCTTTATATTCATTTTTCCTCTTCCCGCCACTTCCACTATGTTATTCGGCCTAACTTCGCCCACCGTTTCGTATAGCTCCGCCGTCTCATTCATGAACCTTTTGCAATCAAACACAGTGTTCTACCGTATCGTTAACTCCGCAGTCAAAGTAGTTGCCGTCTTCTTGCTTCCATATCCTTACCAGGTAGGCTCTCAAAGAGCCGTGTCCTACCCAGGCTCTCACGTCCGGTATAAATATTCTTGTCCATTCGCCCTATGTTCGTTTTCTCACTTTTCTTGCCATTTCGCGTTGGCCACTCCTCCCTCGTCTGCTTTGCCGTTTCCATTCATGCCGTACGTGATTGTTCTTTCTCTTACTAGTAGGTGAAGTAATGCCAACCCTGCTATCACCTGTGAAGCAACTGTTGAAGTCGTCTTATATGCACATACGACAGTCAGCAGGGCCTTTCTCTGAGCTTTCTCCAGAATTCTTCTGTATTTTTGTTTACGCATTACCTGCTGTTACACTGGTGGTGCGTATATTATGGTGGAGTGGAGCACTTCCATGAGAATTCTCCTTCTACCTGTCCTATGTTTGGAATGATCTTTTTTAGCGCTGCTGTTCTTTGATCGAATTTTTTCGCAGACTTTCCTGACATGTGATACTTTCTCCTGCCCCTTCTATGTGGCTAGCGTCAGTTCTGTCTCCTCTAGCCACATCTTAACCAGTTTAAGAGCTGTGTTTGCCCTATCCATGATAGCCCCATTCTCCGTGCTCCACTAGCATGACCAGGTCGTCTACGTAAGCAATTGTTTGTATTCACTTTCCTATGTTTATTTCAAGTATGTCATTATAGAGTACATTCCAGAGCGGCGGTTTTAGGACTGAGCCTTGTGCACTTCCGCAGATGTCTTCATTGTGCCATCTTTAGTTATATTAATGCTCCTGTCTGTAAAATAATCTGTCACCAAATTCTGCAGGTATTGGGATATTTCGATTTCTTCTAATAGTCTGATTATTTCCCCCAACTTTTGCGTTGTTGAATGCGTTCTTGATATGCAGGGAGAGTGCCACCATTCACCTATACCTGCATGCTTCTTTCTCCCCTACTAACCTGATTAACGTCTATGGCAGATCTGCCTTTTCTGAACCCATACTGGTGGTCCGACAGGCCTCCTTTTCTTTTCTATATCTTTTTCGAGCTTTATGAGAGATTACGAATAGCTTGCCTAGTGTATTTAGTAAGCATATTGGCCTGAAAGCATTCGGTTCTGTCATTTATTTCCCAGGTTTAGGGATGATGATACGGTTTGTCGCTTTCCATACCCTGGGGAATCTGTCTTCTAACATTATGTTTTTCACCCATTCAGCCTTTTACTCAATAATGATCTTAATGTATTATTTGGAAGGTTTCGTCCGCTCTTTGCGGGAACAGTTACTGCCCAAATAGATTTTACGCACTTATGCAACTAAATCTTGCAAAACCAGATTATATCTGCCAGTTATTTTCTATTTCTTTGTTAAAATACCCAAAACAATGATACAAATTGTCAAAATTATCCAACCAAGTAACAAAACAAAATGATTAATTTTTATTAAAACCTATTTCAGAGGTTTAAATCGACATAGTATCGACACAGTTTAACCACAAACCACAGTTTAACCAGACACAGTTTTTCTTTTTATACTATGGTATCGACTATTTTCAAATCGTCAAAAAACAGTTTGCCTCTCTAGTTTACAAACTGTTGCAGAAACAAACCTACAAAATTGTTAATGTTGATGTTAAATTTTATTATATTTAATACTAACGTTTAATTTTTTTATGTTTTCAGAGAGTAAAAAACATTGAAGAGGATCAACAGATTAAAGTGAGAATGTAAGGCTGTATAATAAATAATTATTATTGTTTATATTGTATTATATTTTAAAGAAGTCCTAGATATTAATTACAATGATTGCTGATAATTTATTTTTAATATCTCCTGTTATTTCTAGTTTTGTTTTATTTATTTTAGAAAGTGACAGCAGTAATAAAGTCTTGTACGGAAGATAAGGATAGAAAATGTTTTCCTTATCCTCCTCAGATTATTCCTATATTATATTCATGTATAATTTTTCTTTGGAATCAAATATAAAATTGTTATTATTTTTATTGGCTATTTACTTTTATTTTCCCAATTTCACCAAATGGTAAAAGCAGCAATTAGCAAAGTATTATTAAAAAAATACACAAAGAAACCGATGACATATTTCTTTAACAAATACCTGAATAGACAGGAAGTTCCTAAATAATAGAAAGTGGCACACATATCGTCCATCTGCAAAAATGCAAGAATAAGATAATTATCGGGGTATATTCGTCACAACCACAATTTAGCAGATTGTATGGAAGGATATTGAGAGATCTAATGGAAGCAGAATTTATAGAAAAAGAAGTTTAATGCGGATATAAATCATGCACCGACAGTATATTCTGTATAAAACAACAAAAAAATCAGCAGTTAACTCTGAAAAGCACAGCCTATTCATTGATCCCTCAAACTACTATAATGATATATAGCCCAGCGAAATAAGAATTTTTTCATGACACTCGTCCGGCCAGGCAAACGACAGTTGTTTTGAGTAGTGTGGACCTCTGTAACAAAAACCTATATGTTTCCTGCAGTCGATTTTTTGGACTAAATTAGTTAATAACAAATTAAGTTCAAAAAACGGAAAATTTTTGCTTTTTTCGTCTATCAGCAAAAAGTGAAGCAAGTTATATAAAAACCTTCAAAATGGCGTTCTCAAAATGTTTCTATACTTATTTGTTGTTTGGAAAGTTGCAAAATAAGTCAAAAATTTCGGTTTTTTATAAATGTTAATAACTTTTTTGAAAATAAACTTATAATATTTATATTTCATGGAATGATGTGTCTTGTAGTGCATAAAATAGGGTTAAAATTTCAAAGTGATCGGTCCAATAGTTTAAAAGTTATTTTATTTGTTTATCCCAAATTAACATTTTTTGCAACAATATAAGTCAGAAATTTATACAGTTTTAGAAATTGTAAGGGTTGTTTCTGGTTGAAAAAGACTTGTTTTATTATTTACATTAAAAAAAAATTAGGAAAATAATTTTAAATATTGCAAAATAATTTTGCAAAAACATGTCGATTTTTTGCTTATAAACAATTAGAATAACTTTTTAACCATTGACTGTAAAAATATTATTTTTACATATTTAAAAAGCTTGAATTTTTCACCCTGTATGTTTGTAACTAATTTAAAAATGTGGAGTTTAAAGCTGTCTACAATTTTTGTTAATAATTTTTTTTTTGTAATTTTTACTATAACAGATCTACTGAGTTTCCTCATACTAATCAATCACCCAAAAGAGTTATCAGAAAAATTTTCTACCAAGTAACCAAAAACAAAATTTGATTAATTTATTAATGTTCTGCATTCTGGGAAAGATTTCCGAAGTAGAAATCGAAACATCAAAAATAAACTTTTTATAATCTTAAATTGTGGCTTAGTCCCCAAAATATAGGAAATGACAAATACTTCTGTTTTACATTCAAAATTAACTTAAATACTACTAAAAAAATTTAAAAAAATTGTTTTTAAACAAATTAGGTGGTTTATTTGACAATTTATTTATTGAAATAATGCATATTCGTAATGTACGCAAAAAGTACATACAAGTTCAAAAAGAAACGTTGAAATACATAAAAAAGGAACAGAGATACAGTTAACAGCGCCTTCCCCTCCCTTCAGCTCCCGAGAGTTTCAAAGCCGACCGATTTTACATACATTTTGAAGCTTTGTGGAGGATTCCATTAAAGGGCAATAATTTTAAAATTTAGTACTTTAAAACTATAATGATATATTCTTTTAAATAGCGCTAATTAGATTTCTTAATTGTTATAAACAAAGGTGCTATGAATTAAATAAAAAAAGAGGCTAACTTTGTACCAAATTATTTTAGGACAAACTTTTTTTTATTTAAATTTGTGAAAAAATTCAAGCTTTTTAAATATGTAAAAATAATATTTTTACAGTCAATAGGTTAAAAAGTTATTCTAATTGTTTATAAGCAAAAAATCGACATGTTTTTGCAAAATTATTTTGCAATATTTAAAATTAATTTTCTAGTTTTTTTTTAAAGTAAATAATAAAACAAGTCTTCTTCTACCAGAAACAACCTTACAATTTCTAAAACTGTATAAATTTCTGACTTATATTGTTGCAAAAAATGTTAATTTGGGATAAACAAATAAAATAACTTTTAAACTATTGGACCGATCACTTTGAAATTTTAACCCTATTTTATGCACTACAAGACACATCATTCCATGAAATATAAATATTATAAGTTTATTTTCAAAAAAGTTATTAACATTTATAAAAAACCGAAATTTTTGACTTATTTTGCAACTTTCTAAACAACAAATAAGGATAGAAACATTTTGAGAACGCCGTTTTGAAGGTTTTTATATAACTTATAAGTTTCCTTCTTCTAAAATTTGTTTAAATTGCTTCACTTTTTGCTGATAGACGAAAAAAGCAAAAATTTTCCGTTTTTTGAACTTAATTTGTTAATAACTAATTTAGTCCAAAAAATCGACTGCAGGAAACATATAGGTTTTTGTTACAGAGGACCACACTACTCAAAACAACTGTCGTTTGCCTGGCCGGACGAGTGTCAAAAACAGGGTACTTTTTTTGCTTATTTCCCTGGCCTAATATAGTCGGTTCGCTATTCCTAGTCCGAACTGTCTAGTGAATTTAGTAATTTTTTTTGCGTAGTTAGTTACTTTTTGAAAGACTAAAAGTAGCTGAAAATTACTATACAACCAAGCACACGTACGCATAGCCAATATTAATAGTAAACAAACTAAATAATAAATAAAATAGAACTTTACGAGTTACCGACAATCAATATTTATTTTATTAATATATTTTTTAAATATACGACCCAAAATTTTATGGGTTTAGTATACACTTCCACTATTTATACTAATTCTTCTTTTTTAATGAAAGATGTCTGTAATAAAAGTTTATTTAAGCTGTTAATACTGTGAGATAGGAACTTTTGTGTTGTAGGTTTCCAGCTATGAATCTGTCAAAATATGCCCGAGTTGAGCGAATGGACGTTACTAGCAAGCTATGGGAGTTATTACAAGACACATCCATTAATCAGAATCTCATAAATTTTGTCAAAAGCTTTTATTAAAACTCCACCTCAAAAATAAAAATAAATTGTAGACATATTTCTGCGTTAACAAAGTCAGAGCTGATCACCAATACTTTTTAAAATCTATATGAAAGAAGCATTACCAAAAGTAAACGTAAATGTTCAGGAATGAAAATATCTTTAACAGATAGAACAGTATTTAGCCTACGTTTGCAGATTGGCAGGCGATAAAGAAGGCCTGAAGTATACGGCACAGAAGCTTAAACAAACCTACGAAGATTCAACTATAATATTGAAAAGACCAAATATCTGTTCATAGAAAGGAAAATTTGTAATCTATATTTAGAAAACATAAAAGCATGTGGAGAGTATAAATGCGGGTAACTCAATTGGTTGTTGCCACTCATGAAGACCCTTTTTTCGAGTTAGGACGTAATTTAAGGGTCATCTGACCTCATTATGTGGTTAGTTTCAATTACTTTATAGACTTTTTCACTGATGATGATGTGATAGGATGGAAAACGTTCTGAAAATTTTTAAATCCATTTTGGATAATAATTCAAATATACGATTTTACAAAGAAAGTTTATTATTCATTGTAAGTTTTCTTAATTTTATTTATTCTATTTTGTTTTAGTCTTCTTTTATTTTATATTATTTTATTTAATTTTATTTTATTTTACTCCATTTTATTTTCTTTTATAATCAGGTTCTGACATCGCTGAACTTAAAATCTACATTTTGTCAAGTATCTCTATAAGAAAAGTTAACATTTCAACATTGTCGTTGGTGATCGCTCAACTCTTTGCATTGGGTTTTCTTTCGTGAAATTGAAGTTGTTGCTCATTCACCAGATATTTTTCTTCTTCATTTTATAAGCAATTCTGGTTTTCCATTGGTGGATTAAGGCTGTTTTAGCAGTCAAAGCACACTGCGATTTGAAATGGGCGTATCACTTACTTTTCTACACTTCTTACGCCAGTCGACGACGGGTACAGCTGTTTACTCAGTGGCGCCGGCCGACGGGTAGTTTAATGACAACAAATGCATTATTCTCCATTCAAATTAGTTTTGTCGGGAATACCTTTTTTCATTGATTATCGTAGATGTTTTAAAAAGAATTATCACATTTTTCATTTATATGTCTTAGCTAAATATAGTATTGAATAAAAATTTGTGAAACGTGACTGCAAAAAACGTCATGGTGTTTATTTATAATAAACTTAAAATAACATAAAAATATTATTATCAAAAAAAAATACAATTTGTTGTCACAAACAAATAAACAATTTCGAAGTTATAGCTTGAAAATGATTTCAAATCGAACTAACTGACCGTACGTTCGTGAGATTTGATGTCACGAAGCCGATAACGGTGAAACTAAGTGCCAATGATGAGTAACACGTTTCGCTATTAGATTTCAGTATTTTTTAGCAATTTTTTTCAAAGTTTGAACACGCTTTTCTCGATTATTACTGGACACAAAAAGGTGAAAAAAAAAATCAACGATTACAGAAAAAAACTCTTTCAAGTGATGGGCGTAAAAAGTTTGGTTATAATAGAACGTTAAACTGCATAATCCGATATTTCAAAAGAACTTTCAAAAAAATTAAAAAATTAAAACCATCAGTTTAAAGGCAACATAATTTTGAATAACCTGTCCAAATTTTGAGACATTTTGTCGGTAAAAATAACAGAGAAAACACACGTCGTCCGATACTTCTTCTGCTGATTGGTGACATATGCTATTTTGACGACACGGGTCCCTCCATTCTGCTTATGTTTCTATTCCATTCTTTTTTTTCTATTTTGTGTCCATTCATTTATACACTGTACGTTACATTTTCTTCTAATGTCTTCACTTCTCTTTCTATATCTCAGCGTATTTCCTGTAATTCTTCTCAGTACTCTCATCTCTGCCGTTTCCAGTAGCCTTTGCGTTATGGCTGTGTCGGGTCTTGTTTCTGAGGCA